GCCGGAGGGTGAGGGGGGGGCTGGGGCAGCCACAGCTTTGCAAGGGGGGTTATTTCGGTTGTGCCCATTCTTTGCCCCAGGTCCCCTTTAGGGACCCCCCATCAAGGGCTGCCTGCAGTGGCAGGAGGTGCCAGCGCTGCTGGGACTTGCTACAGTTCCCAGGGAAGAAGGAAGATGCTTTTCACACTGGTGTTACAGCACAGATTTACCCTCCAAGTGGCCCTGTTGCCTTCGAGTGGCAGGGCTATGGGTCCCAGCTGTGCACAAGGACTTTTCCTCCACCTGAGCAGGGCGCTGCCTTGCACTGCCAGGAGGACTTTGACCCCAGGAGGGGCCAAACACACTGAAAATAGCCTCCCCGGCCCTCATCACCTGGCCAGCCTCAGTCCTCCCAGGCTCTCGCCCTGTGTTGTGCAAGGCCCAGTGGTTATGCTGGCCCGGCGCCTTACCCAACAGCTCCTTCCTCCGCTGTGCGTCTCCCACTTGATTTCGACATTCACTGTCCCAGGCCAGCTCCTCCTCCGGTTTTCACCACTCCCGCCCTCCATCCGGCACTACCTCCTGCCAGCACAGCCCCAGCTGCCTTGCACTGCTCCCCGGCAGCTTTCCTGGCCCCCAGCAGGTCCCCAGGGCTGGACTGCACCATACCCGAACTTGGACTAAACTTTCCCCCCCACCTTGGCGATTTGCCACCTTCCCCCCCCTCCCAGGGGACACCCATAAACAAGGCTTTGGATCCAGGTAATGTTTATGAGCAAAAGACAAGCGATTACACTCTGGCAGGAACATAAATACAGGAGCAGAGTCCCTGCACTAGCCCTGCCAGGTCCTTCCCAGCTCCCTTGGTGTCTCGGCGCCACCCCAGTGGCTCTGTCCCCCGCAGCGCTCAGCACAGCCCCAAAACATGGGGTCAGGCTGTGCCCAGCCTGCTGCAGCATTCACAGGCACTCAGCCCCACACCAGTGCCCAGGGAGGAGGTGGCCCTTGTGCAGCAAGCTCAGTGTAGCTGGCTGGAAGGTCTGGGTTTGGGGGGCAGGTGCCCCTGCAACAAGGGGAAGGCCCTCCCTGGGCTGGGGGGGCCCCAGGGCCCTGTGCTGTCAGAATCTCCAGGGGGCTGCGCTTCAGCCACCCCTTTAGGTTCCACTGCTCAGGAGCCAGTACCACGAGCCCACCAGCACCCCGATAGGCACCCCAGTACCCCAAGTCTCTCTGGGGCTGCCCTGCATCCCTGTGGGGAGGTAGGCAGGACCCAGCTCTCCCAGCTGGGGCAGGCTGATCCACCACTCTGCCTGACAGCGTCCCCAGGGAGATCCTTCTCACAGCCATGGTGGGAAGGGTCTGGACAGGCACAGATGCCAAGGGGGAAAACCTGCCAGGGGCTGCCTGGCACTTGGGGGGCCTGGCTTCCCCAGGGCAGGGAGAGGAGCTGCGCATGCCCTGGGCCAGCCATGTCCCCCACGTGGGTGGTGTCACCCACCCTCTGCAGGCACAGCAGCACAGGGGTCCCCTGAGTGCTGCCACATCTCTCCAGAGGACCCCCACCCTTGGCACAGCCACAGGATGGCAGAGAGGAGGGTGCCAGGCACAGGCAGCAGGACCCAGGGCTCAGCTCCCCTCCAACAACCCACAGCACCAGTAGCTCTACTCCAGGACCCCCACAACGAGGGATGGGCCTGGGGCCACAGATAAAGGGCAGTCCCCCCCCCCCAGCTGGGGGGGCATTACCTGCAGATGAGATAAAGTCCTGCTCACCCCTTCCCCAGGCAGCTGTGCACCCCATCTCTAACACCCAGGCTGGACAGTCTCATGGGCAGGCTTCCCCGTGCTCTGGGGTCCCACCATGGCCCCTCCCCTGGACTCATGGCCCGGGCTTCCCCGGAGGACAGTCTCCCCAGCACAGCGGGGGCTCCCCCGGCTGGCACCATGCCCTGGGCGATGCCCGTCAGTACGTCTGGGGCGTGAGGATGAAGAGTCGATCTTCCTCCTTGCGGATCCATTTCATGAGCTTGTTGACAGCACTGATGGCACCGGCGTTGGTCCCCAGGGGACTGTAGCATATGTAGAGCTCGAACGCGCTGGTCACCTGGGTGAAAAAACAGGTTACTCGCTGGGCACACGTCTGCCTCCCACTGGGGCTGGCACTGCACCTTCCACCCGTGGGCACTGGGAGCAGGCACAGAGGCTCCAGTGCAGGGACATGGGGGGCAGCAGGGTACCCTAAACGCATGGCACCTGCTTTGCTCAGAATTAGAGGGAGACCAAACCCCAGGGTTTGCCCCCAGAGCAGGTTTTCTCCACAGCATTGGGGAGTTCACAACAGTGCATGGCACAGCCCTTGCTGCCGATGCTCACCAGCCCCTGCTGCTATCCCTGCCCGTCCCTCCCTGGCACAGGGGTGCACGGGGGTAGGCTGATCCCCAAAAGCACCATGCATAGGCTGGGGGGGGGCACCCTGGGGACCACGGCTGCTGGTGCTGTGTTGTGCCCCCGCCCTGCTCTGCTGTGCGCGACCAGAGAAGACGGGCTGACCCAAACCCTGCAGACGGCCCTTACCCAAGCCAGGAGGTTCTCACGGGGGCCCGTGAAGTAGATATTCTTCAGGGGGCGTGAAGAGTTGTGAGCCCGACTGTGGAGGTACTGGTACAGCCCCAAGAGCCTCTCCTTCTCCTCTTCCTGCACGTAGGGTGCCTCAATCTCGGGGCTGCAGGAACACAGCATCCCGTTAGCCCCCTGGAGAAGGGGATTCATGAAAAAGGTTTGCCCTGTGCCCCATGCCACAGACTCGGCCCAATGGTTCCCCAGGGGCCTCACCTGGTAAAGAGCCCAGAGCTTTTTGACTTGTAGATGAAGTGCCGGAGGTCAGGGATGCCCACCTGGGCAACGCTGTAAAAAGGGGTGCGCAGGGCCTCCTGCAGAGCATGGTGTACTCCTCGCCGCCGGAGGCGCTCCTGGAAGCGCCGCTTACAGTCGGAGACGGTGAAGAAGTCCTCGCGGTCAGTGGACACCAGCAGGAGGCACAGATCCATCTCCTGCTCCAGGTAGGAGATGTGGGCATGGAAGAAGCCACTGGAGTTGAACTTGGGGAGGCAAATGGGAGTCCAGGCTTCACCCTCCCGGAAGGAGGAAGAAGAACTGATGAGGTTAAAGAGCAGATGGAGGTCAATGGGGTGGAGGAACTGATCCTTCTTCCTCACAAGAGACACCAGCTGGTTCCCTGACAGGAGGATGGAGAAGACGAGGCTCTTGGCCTTGGCCTGCTGGAGGCTGGTGCTAACAGCGTCCCGGACGCTAGCAGCCAGGGGCAGGCAGCGCACAGCACCCATGAGGAAGCTGGGGTCGTGGGCCATGAGGTCCAGCAAGTTGTCAGTGATGCGCTCAGAGCCGGCCAGGAGCCTGCGCAGGTCATAGTTCTGCTTCTGCTGGAAGATGTGGTTGAGCTGGGTCCAGGTGAGCAGGCTCAGGATCTGGTAGTAGATGTAGAGCAGCTCATGGGCGATCTCCTGCTCTGACTGCTGGGTCCGTGCCACTGCCACCAGCACCAGCGGGCTCCTCCGCACGAAGACCACCTTGTAGCCATCTGCTTGGGAGGGAGTTCCCCGGGGGGTGCCGGGGACAGACCTGTAAGCCTGGCTCCCCAGAGCTGCAAGGGGGAGCCAGGCTGCAGCCTCTTCCCCCCAGCAATCAATCTGCCCCTGAGGACAGCTAATATGGCCCACAGTGGGGGCACTGCCAGGCAGGCTGTGCTACCCCCTTGTCCCACTTTCACCCAGGGCAGTACCTGCGTGGATGGACCGGATGGCGTTTTTCTCGGCCTCCAGGAAGGACACCAGGGCCATCATGACGCCCATGGTGCTGGAGAGGGCCTCCTCAGAGCCGTAGCGGGAGTAAACGGGCTTGCCTGCCTCACTCAGCACGAAGACGTGCTTCCGGTGCATGCGCCAGGCATCCATGGTCACGTCCTCCTCCTCCTTGCCAGACAGCACTGAGTCGCGGCGGGGGGGCTGCCCAGATGGCTCCAGCCTCCCCC